GTGCCTGCCTGGCAAGCGCAATGTTGTGAGTTCAATTCCCGATACCAAAACAAATAAATAAATAAATAAATATATGACATCTTATCTGATACTCAGACTTTTTTAATAGCATAAGATAGGCAGACCAAAAAGAGCTAACATAATTCCAGTCAAGAGCAAGCCTCTTTCCCTCCCTCATATTGTACGCAAGCCACCCGCCCCAGGGCAGAGGTAGCTCTCACACCCATAATCCCAGCATTGGACCATGAATAATCAAAAGCTCTAGAAGCCCTCCCCATGGCTGCATGAGGCTTTGGGGGGACATCCAGACACAAACCATAACACCCATGTTGTAGGCTTTGTCAGATATTGGAACTGACCAAAAGCCCCCAGCACGACAATCCTCACAGGACCAAGGGGCAAGCCTGTAATCTAAAGTGAGAAATGCCAGTGTGCTGGTGCACACCTGTAGTCCTAGCACTCAGGAGGCTGAGGGAGGAGGACTGCAGAGAGTTTGAGGATGTCCTGGCCACATAGTGAGTTCAAAACACACTGAACTATATAGTGAGGCCTGGTCTCAAAAATAAACAAATAAAAGTAAAATGATTAATTACTATTTGTGATACTTGACCAACTACATGTGAGGCTGGGAGTCAGGCTGCGGCTGAGTTGCCCTTGCCCTGTCACTTCAACTCCTGTTTGCCACCTACTAGGCATGAGAAATTCAGGCTGAGATTTATCATTTGTGCATCGGGCCCCAGAAGACCCTGGGGATGACTGCTGCTTACAGTGTACAGATTGTGCTATGTAACAATATTCAGTGAAGTCATTATGAACTCAAAGAGTTCTTATAACCCTAAACCTAAACCTAACCCTGTCCCTATCCCTAGCCAATACTACCCTTGTGGAAACTTAGCCCTAACCCAATCACTAGCCTTAGCCCTAACACTAATCCTAACCTTAGGGAGCCTTGGGTGGGGAGCGACAGTCTTCGGACTGGTGACTCACTCCCGGCCTTGTGGTTCCCCAGAAGGAGGGCTTCCGGCGCACAGGGAGCTGCGGGTGGGGAGCGCCAGCCTTCTGGCTGGATAGCTTCCTGCCTGCTGGCTCCCGGAGGGTGGGCCCCCAGCGCACGGGGAGCCTCCAGAGGGGAGCACCGGTTTTTTGGGTCTTTGGACTGGCAACTCACTCCCGGCCTCGTGGTTCCCTGGAAGGAGGGCTTCCGGCGCACAGGGAGCTGCGGGTGGGGAGCACCAGTCTTCTGGCTGGCTAGCTTTCAGCCTGCTGGCTCCCGGAGGGTGGGCCCCCAGTGCATGGGGAGCCATGCGACGGCGAGCGCTATTGTGCACCGGCCCTTAGGCCGGCCTCCGCTGCTCAATTGGGATCCATCATGACACAGAGAAACAGTGACACAATTGGCCCACCATGCACCAACTGCAGTTGCCCACCCCAGGATGTGTGTGAATCATTCAAACTTTGAACAACCCCTGGGAATATATGCCATACAACGGGCCACTCTTGCTCCTGCCATTGGGAACCAGAAAGGTCCAGAGCCAGCGGAGGAGCAGCTGCTGAACAAGGACTCAGAGAACATGAGAATGCAGACTAAGCCCA